TCCAGTTTTGCCATTATAGTTGTTTTTTAAAATCACGACTCGATGAAAACTCTCGCTTAAATTTGCGAAAATATTTTTTCTATATATTTACATGTCTAGATAGGATTTTTAAGCTCGCTCGCACCTGGACATATCGGAGAATGCGAGCAAAATACAGGGGTAATAAATCACCCACCCTTAACTTTTACTATGATTGATGGGGAAATGGAAGCGATAAGACTTAGAAATTATTCTCCCGAACGCCGACCGGCCTAATGTGATGCGATGATGCTAATCTTTCTTTCATACGTTTCATTTATAAATCCCGGCGAAATGGAATACACCTATACCGGGGCGGTGCGAAATGTACGAGCGTCCCGTACGTCATTCGCTTTATAAATTATTGCACCCATACGGCGGGTCCCAAGTCAAGATTAAATGGGGCATCCGCCGAATGGAATTTATACCTGGTCCTCATCAAGAAGGGCCGACCCACATCGATTCTGCGAGACCTCTCCCGAATATAGTGTACGTATGCGGCGTGCAAAATTTATCGGGCCGTATCTGGTCAATGAGCCGGCGTTTGTTCTACTTTCACCTCAACCGGCGCGTCGCTCACTATTCAGCTGCCCCTCTAAAATATTTATCTCCACAGCTCGAATGGCATGATTCGGGCGCTCCATCCTTTTCGGCTAGGGGTATTAGGCTTGATAATGGCGAGTTTAAACGTGTCGATGTACAGCCCTGTAGTGGTATTTTCCTAGGTAATACGTTCCTTTATTAGAATGATTTTTTCCATTTTCATAATGCGCTTCCAAGGATGATGATTGTAATTGAAAATGAGGTAGGTTTTTATGGTATCTCAACGCCCGGTGGAATTGCGTGACTTTCTAAACATCGCAGTTAGATGAAAATTCGCAAAAACAGTCAACTGGTTTCTGTTTATTGTGAATTTTGTAATTTTTTATGTAAACTAAAAATTTTGAGTACCTATAAGTTTCAATAATTGCCTCTATAATAGTTAGATAAATTGATCTTTTGCTTACTCTTTTAGGTAAATAAAAAGATGCATTAAATATCAATAAAATTAGCAAAAAATGTAAAAATATAAAACGGAAATTTCCTTCCCATTTAGGCGTTTCCTTGTAAATAAACTTCGCGACAGTTCTGGTAATTTATGATTAATTCAAAGCCAAAGAAAAATACTCTTTATCGAGAGCAATCTCTGCATTCGGCAGTTTGATCCGGAGTTAAATAGCGTTATCCGGAATTCATATAACAAGAAGTACATAAAAGGGAAAATCAAGAGGAGCTAGAACGTTTTGGGGGCCCTCTAGCGACTGAATAATCAGTCAAATTTAACTCTTAATGATAAAGCGATGCCTTTACGTTTTCTACAAACTTTCGACTTCTTTGCTGATGTCGTGCCTAAAGCGACTTCCGACCGTATCTTCCGGAGTTTCGTTATATAGAGAGAAAAAAGCCTCGCTTGATTCGTCGGAAGAGACGAAATTCGGCCCCCGCGTTGATTGCTCAACCCTTTTTGTTCGATTTTTCTCTTCTATAAATATTTCTAAATATGCTTTTGAACTGTCACGAATTTTATAAAATTCTATTACTCGTTGCTTACCTTACCGAAAGCGTCTTATCAAAATACCGTTGTGAAATTGACGTGAAAACTCACCTGAAACAAAATGTAATTATTAGTATATAATCTAGCGATTAAATATAATCATAAACTCCCCATTTTATTAACTCACTGCAAAAACAACCATTATAATTTCTCCTCCAGTATTCTCATTCATCGTTTCCTCGAATGTAATTCCTTTAAGGTGAATTTCTCCTGCAAAACGCTAGGAAAGAAAATGAATTCGGGAGTGTTTTTTTTTATTTAAACTTTTTTTCTTCAACTGAATTAAAATTGTATTCCGAGGGAAATATTCTTTGAAACGCCGTAGCTAGAGTGGCATTCTCTTTTGTTGCTAATGAATGTGCACAAGGAACAAGATGTCAGTAGGTCAACAACCGCCGCAAATAATAGATGAGGCGGATAAAAAAAGGCGAGAAATTCATTCCAAGGGATCAAGTATATTTTATTTCAAAATTAAATGCTTAATTGCTTTAAATAATGCATGTTTGTTTAGTAAAATAATCATTTAATTTTCGTTCTGTCATCATAATTGAAAAGAACCCTACTGATGCTATGTAATTATAGAATCTAGGACCCGGTGGAATTTTAATATTTAAATGTCCATGTCACTAATGTGCATGGTGTCCCCATCGCTTTAATTGAATTACATTATTTATATTATAAGGATAAATTTCGTGAAATAAACATGTTTTTCTCGGCTGCAGACACGAAATGAATACATTATGTTTCAACATTTTGCTGTCAATTGAATATTTGATTACACTCCCGCGCGAGTTTCGCCTAAAATTATGACACGTAAGGTTAATAGATGCTCTTTACTGTACCTGCTCCGCCAATGAATGTCTTCTCTTCACTATAACGTCCTACTCATTTATAGGGTACAATAAAAGGGTGATAACAATACTCTCGGAGTATTCAATTTATACCATTAAACGATTTCTCCTTCACCTTTATAGGCAGTCTCATTTTTATCTTTTGGTGCATTCGCCGAATGGAAGGATGCTCCAATAAATAGGAGAATGGTATATCACGTGTGATCAAATTTAATAAACCTGTAATAGTTGCTAAATCGATAGGTAGGTGTTGACAATACATATTGAATAAATTGCCATATCATGTTGGGAATAATTTAGGAATTACATTTATTGAAATTATCGATTTCCTGTGACTAATATTATTTCAAAAGCGATTAAAATGGACCCAAAAGTTTTTTCTTTAAATATATGTTAGTAAGGAATGACTTTGACATATTAAATTATATTGGGAAAATAAAAATAGTTCAAAATGTTCGATGGTATTTATAAATAAATAAAATAACGTGTGTTTTTAATTAATAGGTGTTATTTTCGGAGGCGCAATTTAAATTATTTTGTACAAAAATATTACATCCATACCTAATTTAGCAAATTTCATACGAGTAGAAAATGTAATTAATTAACAAGTAATTAACAGGACGGTGTACGCCAGCTACACAAAAAAATTCGTCACAATAATTGAATCGCCTCAGAGTACGGAAAAATCCACGAAAAAAAAATCGGCCAATACCTCTCGAACGATCAAACTTTTTTCCCGATGATCGCTCTCCACCCCCGAAACAGAATCCAATTATTGAGCCACAATTTTTTTGTCCCGTGGCCTCACGGGCACTTAACAATACCGAGATTTCGGTATATCCGCGAAAATTCATCGATCACAATTAGAAGAGACGTCCGCTCTCCATCCGAACCTTGAGCCAATGTTCGGCAATTTATCTTCCTCTTGTCGTATTCTTCCGCCGTTAATCAAACAGTTGTTCGTCTTATTCACCGTGCTCTATCGTACTCGTTTATCGCCCGTGCATGATGCACCTTTATCGCCCATGCCGAGTCGAAAATATTTTGTTTTATTAGTCACATTTTCCATTCAGTCACAGGAAGATATCAGTATGGTAGCATTCAGCTTTATGAATCTGGAGACACTAAAGTCCAATCCCATTGAGATAGGTCATATTAATGAGCAGTATACCAACAAACTTCTGGACCAATTCTCTCTCAATCATCTATCGATGATATCACGAGGTCTGATGTTTAAGGTGTTTAAGGTAAAACAGATTTACCTTTCAATTATACAAAAAAAGAGTAAATGATAATATGTGATTTGTCATCGTCTTGTTGGATTTTAGGGCCTTAAATCTCGAAGTATCCGAAAGCCAAAACATTGTCATTCGAAGGAGACATTAACCTTGTTTCTGCTTTCCCCTTGTCGTTTGGCGGCTTCCCGGCGAACTTACTTAAACAACCATAACATTCCTTGAGATAATAAACCGACGGGATACTTTTTCCACTACATTTAGCTTCGCAGCGGATGGATTCTGGAAAGGAAAATTCCGCGTGGAACGCAAGAAAGGGAACTTTCGTCGAGCGCCGGCCAATGTATTAATTGGCGGTTCTTTTTTGCGGATGGAAGACGGAGAAAAGGTGAGGCGGTATTAAAGAAAACGCGGTTCTGAGGTCGAAAAACATCTTGAGATAATTGGATTTATTGAGTCGACGCCGTTTAGTAATCGCGAAAATTTGATATACTTATAGTTTATTATTTTTTGCACAACGCCGAAAAAGTTGCCGGGAAGAAAAGTCTAAAACCGAGCACCTACGTTCCCGAACTTTACTCCATGCATTTTACAGGCAAATATTGAACTTTAATTTGGAAGAATAAACAAAGTGAAAACAAGGTCAGGCCGTATAAACACCCCCTTTACGCGGAAATAAAACAAGAAAACACAAATAAAAACTTTTTAGATCAACGATTGGAAGCAAGTCGGAAACAAAGACATAAAACAACAAATTCCACCTGAATCGAACGTACTACACACACTTTATGTTGCGCTAATATAATAAAATAAACTTTTTTTGTTTATTGTTCTATTTTCGGAAAGTGGTGATTTACGCCTGTGATTTTCAAGTTAATACTACTGTTTGCCCGAAGCAAATAAGGGTTGGTTTTAATTCTTCGTTATTAGCCACTCTTTAATGGGAAATTCCTTTTTACAGGATAACTTTTATAAATATTTTATAATCAATTAAACATTACATTGCTATTACGAATTAGGTAAAAAAAGAGGTTCAATGACATTCCTGGAACATGTAAACGATATATTCATACCAGCTTATTCCCTTAACTGTAATAAAATTTTTCGTTTATTTTCTGTACGAATGTCCTACATGGACACGAAACCAAATTCATATTAACACCTGTATAAATGAAAATAATTGTGTTTAAAAGAAAGCATGACATGTCTATTTCCCTTCCTGCTTTTTCATAAAAATACAAAATAATAAATTTCACGAATCCGAGCTATACTTCAAAGTTGTGAAAGAAATAAAAGACTTACCGCTTTTGACGGTAACGATGGCCTCCGTGGGTGGATTTAAAGTAGTGGAAGGCGGCGAAGGAAGATCGCAACACTCCCGATCGGGAAACTCGCTGGCTCCCGCCCAATGTTGCAAGGCAAATAGCCAGAAAAAAATTCGAACACCGCACATAACATTTGCCACTGTTTGACGTCTTTAAACGAAGAAAATTCTCACATCGTTTCGACTAGTTATCGAGTCCGGTGGGAAAAACGGCGTGTCGTGCTCGTTGCAAACGTATTGTTTAACGCTATAAATGTATCAAACGATAATATCGTTTCGACGGCGGTATTTCTGCAAAATTGTCAAGTTAGATAAATAGCAATGTCGAATGTATTGGCTTAGACACGCGTAAAATTTAAAGGGATAAATCCTTGAAGAGTCGATGCCTAAACAAGCGAACAACAGAACGCCATAAATCATCCTTTGTGATAGAAATATTTTACTTCCGATATTACATTTTCAATGCGAATCCTAATTCAATTATTTATTTCTTTTTGAACGTTATACATCACGCGAAAATGTTTAAAATATCTAACCTGGCGAAATTTATTCCTACCAAGATATAGTTTCAATGGCTCCGCCAACGTTTTCCTTAAAATTGAATGATTTTTCGGGATTACATTAACACTTTTCACCGCCCGAAAAACCCACAATTGTAAAACCGACCGAAAGCAATTTATCAAGCATTAATCCCTTTACTTCCATTAACGGAAAATTAAGGTTGTTTGTGCCTCAAAGGCGGCGAAAATAGAAATTGATGTCCTCAAAATAAGGGGGAAACCCGTGAAAAGGATAGGTACTTCGGAATGGGTAAATGTTAAACCTCACAGTCAATAAGAGAGTTTCCCTTACTTGGATAATTCATTTTCCAAATTGATATTCTTTTTTTAATTTTATTTCAAATTAACCTTTTTTTTGTGTTTTTTGTTTAAATCACCCGGTCTATCAGAATTTTATATTCACTAAATAAGTTCCGTTTATCTCATGTATGAAGCATTTTATAACAGAATTTTATCTATATTGATAATTTAAAATATCGATTATTCATTCCGTGCATGTTTATTATTTCATTTCCATTAAAAACCTTTTTACTTGTCCGACTTAATGACGGATTACGCTATGCTGGAAACTTAATTAACCACGTTCGCTGGACCCAGATTTTTGCCAGTTTTTTTCGAAAGCTATTAAGCCGAATTGTGCTAATAGTCCGGGCAAAATAAACTTGGCCGGAATTAAAACGATTATATTTAACGTGCGGAATTTTAATAAAATTTAAAATACGTACTCTAACCGTCCACGAATGGGCTTAAGTTACTTTAGTGTAATTTTATTCATGTTCATTTTATATCCTGTTAAAGGAAGATAGGCTTGACAAAACGTTGACTGGCCTAAATGGCGGGTTATTTTTCACTTTCGTCGGGTCTTTAGAATTGCGTTTTGATCTTTTGAGGATATATTTCGAAAATTGGATAATTGGATTTGACTCGTTAGGCTCAACTGCCCGTAAAATTCGGTTTAAGGGATGTTTCAACAGGTTTTCGGTTATAATAAGTTTTTGACTGACATATAACTCGATAAACATAAAACGTTTTACGTGTTAGGTAAGAGAAATAATATCTTTCCTTATTCCCTCTTATAGAATTCAAGGGGATTATTTCGTATATGGTATAAATGCGGATAATAAAAAGTACCTATAGTTAGAGTTTGAAATCTGATGATTCGTTGTTAAAATTAATTACTGGAAAATAGAATAAAAATTAATTATAGATATACGTTTTATATAACTGTAGAAGAATTTTAACGAAACCAATTTGAAAATGCTGCTGAATTATTTAAAATCCAACTTTAAATTTCTGGATTTTGATTTAATCAAACTAATGACAATCGATAAATCATTTCACATGTAGAGATATTTATAAATAACAATGTGTTTTTCCAATATTTCACGAACCAAATTCGCGATTGTTAAAACCAATTTCTATTTTATTATTTTTAAGATCAATTTTCGATTCGGACTCGAATTCGAATTTTCGTAGGCAATAGGCGTTTTTTACAACTTTGTCCTATATTCTCATCCGTTCACCAATCGTCCCAAGGAATATAAAGAATGTAACTATAAAAAAAAGTTATAAATGGCCAAAATTTACGATTCCAACCTTCTCCGACATATCGTAACAAACGTACATATGTAGTATACACATAAAACGGCCGAATAACTGCGAAACGTGGATGTCTCACGTGTAGTTCCTAATAAATTTAAATAAGATGTATACTCTGTAGATGTACTCTTGCTGAATTGAAATGTGTATGTAGTAAAAATAGTTATTAAATAAAGCTTGTAATTGGTAAATTTATTTTTCAGGTGCGTTTTAAAATTTAGGTTCCTCCGCCATAATTTAAATTTTACAGCATCTCGAGTCTTTTTGACCCAAGGATAAGTACCTGCCTAATTAAAAATACACCTAAATAAGTAATAAAATTTGTGTATAGGATATTTTGTAAATTATCTATTAACTTTAAAGGCATCGACTCGCAAAAATTCGCAAACATATAAACCCAAAAAAAATAACACATTTCAAAACTCCAACCTTCTCGACGGCAAAACGTCGACCACAACCTCAGCAAAAATCAAACGTCCGAAGAACAACAATCGGCTATCACACGCAGCGATTCCGCGACGCGCGTTCCTGCGAAAATAATATCCCGAGCCGCGAGAGGAATCCGACGCGCTCCGTCCGTACACGGCAGACACTAATCGCGCGAATACGACGCCGGTGACTGGCGAGCCAGAAGAGCGGAGGCCGCGGACGAAACGTTGCGCCGGCCGCCTTACGTCACGGGGTCGATGGCGCCACCGCCGCCGCGGCGGCGGCCTTCTTCGCCGTCGTACGGGCAGCGGAGACGCGCTCGGCGCCGTCGACGTCGCGGCGCCGCTAGGTGGACTTCGTTTCACGGATGCAATTGATGCGAAGGTGAGCGCCGATTTGGGTCACCCGAAAGATTGGAATTCCGAATTCTAATAACTATTATCTCGCCTAAAAGAACTCTTTTATCGGAGTTATGTCGAGTAGGTAATTGGCTAGAAATGAATGTATAATTGCTTCTAATTTGTCTTAAAATTCTTTGGCGTAGGTATTTAAATTTAATATCGGAATTTTAGGTGTATATAGCTTTCTTGGCAAATCACGCACTAGTTCACAAATTACCCTTACAATTAAGTACCTACCTAAACGACTCTCTAATGTAGGTAATTGTGGGCATGAAAATTAATCCTGATTATTAAAATGATTCTCTAATTTGAGTAGGTATAGGTACATAAATAACTCTCCTGTGGTAGAAAGCTCTCTTGGTAATATAATTGACTCTCTCGTTTAAACAACAATTCCATCGATTCTTTTGAGTAAGTTTTTAGTACCTCTTACTACTAAAAACTCCTTCACTCGTTCTTTTTAAAGCTCGTGAAAAAGAAAAATGTCAATAATACAGCCAATTACAGTGTTGCAACCCAATCTTTTGTGTAGTTACCTGGTATACAAAAGAAAACAATTTTTATACATTTGCTTTAACGAGATTCGGAGACTTCTTCAGGTCATTTACCATCAGTCTCCATCAGATAAGAAAGACCGAGAAAGAGATTTGTTATGAATACGAAAAAACAACTCGACTGAACTGAACAACAAAATTATAGTTCGAACATGTTCGTATACGTACCCATTGCACTCTTGCATATTCAATAACGAATAGTCTCGCTCGGAAAGCTTTGTGCACTTTTCGTACGTCGAAAGAGCATGCAAACAACTTGAGGGAAAAAATAAAACGCGAGGAATAACGTTTTCGCTGTAAAGCACGTTTATACGAGTAGAAACTGTAAATCAATCCGACCGCAGGGCAATCAATGGCCTTTGAAAGTTTTCAGGGACATTTTTCACGACTTTTGATGGTGTAAGTTCGAGAGAAAAGCCGAGCACTTTGTATGCAAAAGGGGGCACACCTCCTTTAATAATGGGACCCCTTATCTTGGGACTGTGGATGCAAATTGGACTTTAACCAGTGCCGTAGTTTCACCATTAAATTTTCGTTTATCTATATATAATCAAGTGTATCGATTTTTACACCTTTTTATGACCAGCAAATTATTTTCTGCTACAACCAAGTAATATATCCATCAAAATACTCTTGTGAGTATTTTCAATAGTAATTCTTCAAAATTTATAGCCTACGCTACTGATAAAAACACGTGTAGCGGTATCTTCACGAGCTAATAAAGACTTTCAGACGGCATTTCCTGGCTCGAAGCTTACGGACTTTTTGCATAATTACAGTTGTTAAAGACGTTTGTTGCAGTTAAAACTTTTTAGAGTATATTATGGGGGATGAAAATTTAGTAATATCGAAGGTCTGAGCGGGGTAATGAGTGAAAAATTGCCGAAACGACGGAAATCGCTTCCACTAATGAATAAAGACCGCTGCGTACTCCTTGCGAAAGATGTTTTCGAGAATAAAGTTATCCGTAAAATGTACATTAAGCGCTTGTAATTAAGACCTTTTTAGAAAGTTACTGTTGAGTAAATACGTTGCTTGGTTAGATAAATGACTCTCTTAACTAGAAAATTGATTCTTAGTTAGACAGTTGAATCATAAAATAAATGATTCCCTTGGGTAGAGTACCTACATTATTTTTTTGGGCAAGACAAGAAACCCCATTGCGTTATAAAATTTATTTAGTAGTTAATTCACATTTTTTTGTTATCTTTTTTACGTGATCATACATTTACTTTATTTTGCATGAATATCATGTTTGAAATCTGTTCATTTTTCACCAGTTATCGAGATATTTCGGTGGATTATTTTTGATTAATTGCCCACCAAATTTTTACGTCTTAATATAATCGTTAGCGTTTTAATGTAAGTTTTGCATATTTTAGGTACGCATTCGCGTTTTTATTTACGGCCCTCGCCTCGTCAGCCGTCCCGAATTATTAGGAAAAAGAGGGAAACTAAATTTTACTTAAAAATTAGCAACACTTAACTGGTAAATTATGTTCTGTGTATTTAAAAGGGCGTCCACAAGCCCATTCGCGCCAGTCATAATGAAAAAAGAAAACGATAAAAGGAAGTGGCTACTGTATCTATCTTAATGAAGAATTTTGTGCGTGAAGAAAATGTAATTAGAAATATCCAAAATGTTACAAATTATCGTGAAGCTGTATATTGGTGGAAGTTACTGTTTTTGTAGACAAATTTAATTTTAAATATTACACTTTGATACCAAATTGTGTGGAGTCGCGCGTGCCATTAGACACTACCGAAACAAAACGAAAAAAAGGAAAACAGTAGCCAAAACCGTTCGTGCTAGCGGCTCATAACGCTATTATCTTCGCATTATTACAGAACCCCGGCAAGGCACGCCGAAACCGACGAGGCTGTACAGCAATATTCGTGTGTTTCCCTCATTTGCTCACTGAAAAGTGGAGTGCTGCCATAGGAGAATTTTAATATAATATATTCATATTATAGGTGTACCTCTACTTCTTTATATCGGGCACGTTCGGGCGATTCAGCTGGAAATTCTTTCGAGTCCCGCTTTCGGAGGCGGATATAAAAATATCTACGGTTTTTGGAAACGATATTTTGTATTAAACGTTTATTAAAAACAATTTCGTTCCTCCTGGCATCATTTTGAATGACTCTTAACATGTGAAAAAGATCCCTGGCCGCGCACTCGCTAGTTTACTCCACATTTTTGTATCTTTCTATACTTGACGCGTTTGGAAGACGGAGTAATAAAAATGTCAGGCGGTTCCAAAATATCCCTACCCCTGTACGGCAAAATCCTGTATAATGATCGATTCGATCGATAGAAATTTCGCACATCGCCTACAATTACTCAAAACCATTCACAGAGTATCAACTTTTAGGCCGGCCAATGGGGAGTGAGTGATATCGGCGACTCGTTTACACCCCGGGTGGACTTCGGCTGATTAATGTGTTTATTACTCCGTCTTCCAAACGCGTCAAGTATAGTTTTCTAATATTGCATATTTATAGTCTTAACTTGCCTCTAACATCACAGGTACTTCGAGTATGCATTTCGCAACTTCTAACATTTCGGTACCTAATTAAAACCCACTTTATCGCTCGCCCCATTTACAGTTCTTGTTTAGCATACATTTGGAGGATGGCCAGAAATCTATTTATACGAAATCTTCGTACACAAACAACGCACGATATCCCCTAAATCAATGATAAGAGTCTAAAGTAAGCAAGAAACATCGCCGACGACATCGGATTCGATCAATTACACATACGAAAAAACTAAGAAAAACGTCGCTCCTTTTATGACAGTAAATTTATTTAAATTGCTCCGATAAGCAATAAAATGATCAACGATAAAATCCCGAATTACGCGCGGCGAATCGTCGAAACAATCACCTCAGGTATTCGGGAAAAGGGCGAATAAATGTTCGTACGTTCCGTCGCCGCTCAATCGAACCAAACAAAACACATTACAAATACGACCGCACGAATAAAATAAGAAAAAGAATGTAGTATTTTCCGGAAACGTGCAATTATACCTCCAAGAGAAATACATCAATTATTCTTTTGGAAATAGAGCTAAGGGTTGAATTGCCGTTCGGTGCTCGAATGAACATCGATCCATTGGTATAGGGGTAGACCAAATTCACATACTTATAAACTGATCCAATTCTATTAGACGTTTAATGATAATATTTGTAGGCTTTGTCATCCATAAAGTCTATTTTTAGATTGATGTAGTGTTTAAAAAATAAAAAAAGGACATTTTAAGATTGAATCGGGCGAATTTAATAAAAAAGCGCATCGATTCGATGCCTTTAAGGCGCTCGAAGCAACCTTAAAATCCCGCTTTCTCTGTCGCAAACTATAAGGAAATAATCTTTTTAGATCGCATACCGCTTAAATCAATATCGGAGCGATTTCGTGTGATTCCTAAAGTTGTGATTTAACGCCGGCGAAACAAAACTTCCCGAAAGTCGGCCCCGAAACGAATACGAAATGGGAAATCCATCACTCAATTTGGGAAAACTTGCATTATTAAAAATGAATTCGAACAGCGAACTGTCAGTATTCATTTTATTCTTTGGCCCGACGATACCTTGACTTCGGATTCAAAAAATATATTTATCCGATTTTAGGGTTGTGAATTGTTTATAAGGGTTCGCATACGGACGAATACCATAGGATTTTTTAATTTAAAATAAGATTCTAAATTTATTTATGTTCTTATTTTAAATTGCTCTATTATTTAATATATTGTCTACTCATTAAATTAATTTGCTTCAGAAACTTCAACAAATTGCTTGTAATGTGTCGTCCCAATATGGGAGCCACAAAAAACTTCAAAATCGAACTTCTGCTCAGTGCCCGAGTTTACTCTTTCATATGAATAAATTATTGGGATATATTTTGTTTTATCTGACCTCTACTTTTTTTTCTCGAGCGAAATCGATATTTATGTATTTGCAGAAGCAGCTTCGCCCTATTTATTCTGAAAATATATGTATTATTGGCGAAAGAAAAAACATGCAAGACGAAATAAAAAAAATCGAAAACTCTCGGAGAGACTGGTGTATTTATTTGGTCTCACTTACTTCTCATTATATTTTGATGAATCGAACATCTTGGAAGTTATCCCGAAAATATAAATTCGCGCAGGTGATGTACGCCTCTATGTTAATAAGGACCCAATTCCAAATATTGAAATCCAAGGGTACGTATCAGAGGTATATCAAACATTTGAATTTTAAATTTTTTACATTACCTTCGATGGCAGC